CGGTCGATAGTTGAACCTCAGATCGAGGAGGAGCAATGTGGTTTTCGTCCTGGGCGTGGAACTGTGGACCAGCTCTTTACCCTCGCTAGGGTGCTGGAGGGAGCATGGGAGTTTGCCAATCCAGTCCACATGTGTTTTGTGGATTTGGAGAAGGCTTACGACCGTGTTCCCAGGGGCTCCCTGTGGGGGGCACTCCAGGAGTATGGGGTGGATGGCCCCTTGTTAGTGGCCATTAAGTCCCTGTACCAAAGGAGTGTGAGTCTGGTTCGCATAGCCAGCAGTAAGTCGGACCTGTTCCCAGTGAGGGTTGGACTCCACCAGGGCTGCCCTTTGTCACCGGTTCTGTTCATAACTTTTATGGACAGAATTTCTAGACGCAGCCGGGTGGTGGATGGGTTTGGGTTCGGTGGCGGGAGGCTGTCGTCTCTGCTTTTTGCGGAAGATGTGGTCCTCCTAGCTTCATCGAGCGCCGACCTTCAGCTCTTGCTTGGGCAGGTCGCGGCCGAGTGTGAAGCGGTTAGGATGAAGATCAGCACCTCCAAGTCTGAGGCCATGGTTCTCAGCCGGAAACGGGTGGATTGCCCGCTCCGGGTCGGGGGGGAGGCTCTGCCTCAGGTGGAGGAGTTTAAGTATCTCGGGATCTTGTTCACGAGTGAGGGTAGGATGGAGCGGGCACTGAATCGGTCCATTGTGGGGAAGAGGGAGCTAAGCTGGAAGGTGAAACTCTCAATTTTCCGGTCGATCTACGTTCCAATCCTCACCTATGGTCATGAGCTTTTGGTAATGACGAAAGAATGAGATCGCAAATACAAGCGGCCGAAATGAGTTTCCTCCACAGGGTGGCCAGGCTCAGCCTTAGAGATAGGGTGAGGACCTCAGTCATCCGGGAGGGACTCGGAGTAGAGCCGCTGCTCCTCCATGTCGAGAGGAGCCAGTTGAGGTGGTTCGGGCATCTGGTGAGGATGCCTCCTGGACGCCTCCCCGGGGAGGTGTTTCGGGCATGTCCCACCGCGAGGAGGCCTCGGGGCCGACCAAGGACACGCTGGAGGGATTATATCTCTCAGCTGGCCTTGGAACGCCTCGGGATTCTCCTGGAGGAGCTGGTGGAAGTGGCTAGGGAGAAGGCTGTCTGGACCTCTTTGCTGAGGCTGCTGCCCCCGTGACCCGGATCCAGATATGCGGGAGACAACGAACGAACTATTCTGTAACTCCTGAGATGTTATAGTAATAGTTCAATCCCAAACTTTCTATAGAATGTTTGAAAGGTAACATGTAGACTTTAAGACAATTTCCTTCACGTGACCATACTGTCCGCATCCTTCACACAAGGTAACACACACTATATATCATCCAGAATGTCCATATTATTATTATTACAGTAAAAGAACTGCTGTGTAATCCACATTTATAGACTATTAGCTTTAGGAAATGTTTATATTGTTGTTTGATCAGTTAACCACTTGTATTATGATTAATTCCAGGTTTGAAGGATGTAATATGAACTCAACACTCGTATTACTCCTGTCTGTCATTATTAGTGATTAGGTTCAGCCCCCAGGGGATAAAACAGTTGTGATCAATTCACACATTGCTCAAAACCCGGCTCTGTAGCTATGTAAACTCAAACTCACTCATCTGGTCAACACCAGTCTCCTCTAAAGTTATCCAGCCAAAGTGAAGTGCCTTAGAGTTTATTTCACATCAACCCACAAGAGACACCAGCAGATAACACATCTGAGCATGACCGCCTGCAGAGAAGCATACCAGAAATCAAGACTGCCCGAGACAGAAAGTCTCCTGGCAAACTCCACCAGAGCTGAACCGCTGAGACACCGGCAGAATCCACCACCATGATAACGGGACACGGCCTCCAGGAGTATCCACCTAGATCCCGTGTCTCCAGGGTTACCACGGCAACTACAGCAACCTTGGTTCCAGCAAAGGGTCTCCAGCTACAGCGCAATTCACAGAAGGGCCCGTCTTAACACTCTGCTCATGACTGGGTTGATGTCAAAATATAGTAATATTTAATTACGAAATCTCATTGATAGACTTATCATTAGCTGTATAGCCATAGTGTATAGCCACTCTAACATTACACACTGAGACTCGGTAGCATTGAAACATTGTTAAATAGTTTAGTGATCTCTGCTTGATTTCTCTATCTTCTTAAAGACAGAAAAAAAACAAAAAAGAAACAGCTTTCATGAAAAGGTTGTTTAAATTGTCCACCAAAAAGTGTCAAATTAACTAAATCTCCCGAGACATAATATGACAACTCATCAATCCGTTTGTATATGTCAATTAATGTTCACAAACGTCCACATGCAAAATGTTCTCTTGCACAGGGAAAGTTTGTGTGCGAATACCTCCATGTGTACGCAGACTCAGAGTGAGTAATAAATCAACAATGTCTTATCGAAGAAGGGGAATATCCATCCATTTTCTACCGCTTATCCTCTAGTAGGGTCGCGGGGGGGCTGGAGCTTATCCCAGCATCCTTTCGGGTGAGAGGCGGGGTACACCCTGGACAGGTCGCCAGTCCATCACAGGGCACACAGACAAACAACCATTCACTCTCACATTCATACCTATGGTCAATTTGGAGTAACCAATTAGCCTAGTCCCCATTTGCATGTCTTTGGACTGTGGGAGGAAGCCGGAGTACCCGGAGAGAACCCACACAAGCACGGGGAGAACATGCAAACTCCACACAGAAAGCCCCCGCGTCCGAGCAGGGACTCGAACCCGGAACCTTCTTGCTGTGAGGCGACAGCGCTAACCACCGCACCACCGTGCCGCCCAGAAGGGGAATAATTCCTCATAATTCATAAATGGCAAGGTGCAGAAACATCATAATCCCAAAGAGCAAATGTAAACCAGGGCTTTTTTATGGTCATTGAATTGGCAGGGACCCTGCCCTGATCTCACGGTGAGCACTGCCGGATTGTCAAGAGAAAATCTGGTGCGTTTCTCATGGAGCAAGACCTCCACTTCTATGGCTGTGGCTGGGAGGTTAGCGTCCTCCAGAAATTTTAGCCTGCTCTCAACTTGAGAAATGTGGCTAGTAATTTCAGCCAGTTTGCTATCTGTTGCAATTGTTGTCACCCGTATGGCCTCTAGCTTCTTGTTGTGGGCCTCAGACTTTTCCAAGATTAGTGCAGTAAGTTTCGAAAACTCTTTAGCCACTTCACCAGAGATGGAACTAGCAACAGGTGTATCCCACTGTCAGGAGGCTCACAAGGCAGCTATGCTCTTGGATCAGTTTGAGTAGCATTAGCCACATCATTAGCTTTCATTCTACCGGGGCCAGTTTTTGAGGGATTCACAGAATTGCTTGTAATATTTGGCATTGTTGCAGTATATTGTCAACATTTATTGTTACCTTAAAGAAAAGCTAGCTCTTTGTCAGGGTTCAAAGCTGTGCAGGGATAGGCACAGCTCGTTCTCACGCAGCCACTCTCAACCACGTCACACGACTCCCCTAGTTTTTCCTTTTTAATAAACCTGCTGTTACAACAAACCTGACCAGCTCCAGGAGATTCATTTACAAGAGACATCACACAGTCCCTAAACGAGCTTGGTTATAAAAAGGAACAAATGCAAAATAAGAGATCATTTTCAGCATTAGCTAACCAGTAACTACATGTTGGACATTAAACAGTAAAACAAAGAAGTCACTCAATACATAGGCTATGTGCCAGGAACAATGCACAACCCTGTCCACACATTTCACAATTGCCACTTTTAAATGTGTGTCTTTTGACCAACCACAAAATGGTCATATAATGAACCATAAGATGGGACTCAAAAGCACAACTCAAGAGTGTCAAAAACAGGGTTCTAAAAATCAGTCTTTGCTGGTGTTGCGCGGAGCATACAATAAGGTGAAGAGTGGAGTAAAAGGGGCCAACAACGCCAAGTGGGGAATCACACCCCAGGATATACTATTTCAAAACATTAGACGTTTTAAATGGATACAAGGACACAGGCTCGTTACTGATAAGGCAGAGATTTGTTTTTGAAATCAACAAAATATATTTTTTTAGAACTTACTTGGAACCAAAAATAAAATAGCAGGTACTGGAACTGCTGAAAAGGAAAATTATATTAAGGCAAATGAAAATCACAACAAACATCAGAGAAAACTAACTAAGAAATGGTTTGTGCTGGAAGGGTATATGTTATGTGGAGGTCACTAAGTAATGCAATGATTGGGCAAATGGGTATGCTGAGGCCAAGCATCTCAGGTAGCCTGCTAATGACCTCCAACCAGAAGTTTTGGATGAGCCAGGTATCATGGAAGTAACTGCCTATTGAGATTGAGCAGTGTAAACATTTATTCTTTGGCTAAAGCCCATAAGGTAGAGTTTGTGGGTAGTGATATGGGTTCTATGAAGGACTTTATACTGAATTAGTTGGGTTTTGGAGTTACATTTCAGAGAGAATGTGTTATTGCATCCATTTGTCCAATTGAAATCTGATGGAAGGTTATTTATGTCTGTGGTCCATTTGTCTATGGGGATTGTTAGTGTTCTGTCGTTGGATGCCAGGAGTTTGTATATTTGAGATAGCTTTTTCTTTGGTTTGAGTGATTGTAACTTTGAATAAAGGGGAGGACTTTGACTGTTAAAATCTTTGAGGCGGAAACTAGCCGTTGACCAGTATTGCTATTGTTCATGAGCTAGCATGCAACTGTACAACTGGGAACAAAGCGCCCGGTGATCGAGTTGTGCACTTGAATGGGTGGGCAGTTTAGTTTAGCACCCAACAGCACAGTTGTCAAACGGTTTCTGTAAGAAACAACTGACAACTGACAACTGTCGGCCTAATATATAGGATGGGGGCCCTATCCCCTCCTGATGCAGACGTCACTATAGCCAGCCAATTAGGGCTGGCGTAATGTTATTTGTGCGTCTGATTGCTATGAAAGAGAACTGTAGTTAAAATGAGGACATGAAACATGACCATGAGACCAGAAACAGGTCCACACACATCAGTGTAGTAAAAGAATATATTTAATTTTGAAATGTTTGTCATTCAATTTTGTGACTTTTATTTTTTCATTATTTTGTAACATGTGTTAATCTTATTTGCCGATCTATTGTGTATCACATATTTCATATCTGACATATATATTTGTTTTCTGTCACTGAAAAATGAACAAGGCATTTTAAAGTATTTACTCATTGTATTGTAATAAAAAGCTGGTCATACAACTACAAATGCCTAATGATCTGAGTTGCATTTATTGGTCCAAAATTTCACATATTGTGTGTAAACATCACCTGTAATCAAACAATTTAATCAAACATTACAAAATTGGCAAGATGAATGATGCAAAGTAATCCTCAGGCCCAGTTGAAATTTGAGTAGTTAATGGACTTCTAACAAAGGTTATATCATAATATCGAGCTCAATTTAAAATAAAGGGCCCTTCAAGACAGTCCAGAGTGTATTAAAAACTCCTGAGTAGAAGAAATGTTAAAACTAGTAATTGTCAGAAAGATCTTTGTGCTTCAGCCTATAAACAGTAGCAGCCTGGACTGTACTGTTAAATGTCTTAAAGGCACTACTAGGCCATGATGATTGTGCTCCAGTACCATAACAGATTTTTTGAGTGAATGCAGAGAGTGACATTAGCTTCTCTCTCTTAAGTCTGATAATTTCACAGAAATCTACCCTTCACGTTGAGTCAAATCTCCCTGCTATCACCAACCCAGCAACAGCCTGCCACTGTTGCAGCATTAGTGTGAAGTAGTGTCCAACAGGTAGCTATTGCATTGTAGATTAACTTCTCCTCCAATTCCATCTTTGACAGTTCAGACCTAACTGACCTACATGACAAGAGAGAAAGTCAAGAGTCACTAACTGTGTTTTTATTTTTGAAAAAAATAAAAAAAGAGACGGGATGTTTCTATGCCACAGTAATGTCTCAACCAAGCATCTCAAGCAGCTAATCCAAATTCAATTTTTGTTTATATGCATCAAACCAAAACAGGATAACTTAGCTAACCTAGTTCAAAACTTTATTCTCTGTGTATATAAACCCAGTCAGTGACTCTGATTCCACCCAATGATCTGATCCTGTGACATCAGGGACTACTGCATTGGTTGTGGGTTCACTAGGGATTTACATGTGTACTCTGTCCTCAAGTGCCTTCAGCTCAGCCTCCACCTGAGCTGGCAGGTCAACTCCAACTTGCTGAGTGAAGTAGGCTCTCAACTCTTTGGTCTCCCTCTGCCAGAAAGGCTTGGGCACATCAAACAAGGCACCCATATCCACCTTGCCACTCAAGCCTTTAGTATCAATGGCGCCATCTTCTGGCAGCCAGCCAATAATGCTCTTCTTGGCTGCCTCATCCTGCCTCTCCCGGCTGCAACGCTTGAAGATCCACTCCAGCACGCGTGCGTTTTCACCAAAGCCAGGCCAGAGGAAGGCGCCGGTGGTGGCATCCTTTCTGAACCAGTTGACATGGAAGATCTTGGGCAGATGAGTGGGAGCCTTTCTGCTCTCCATGCTCAGCCAGTGAGCAAGGTAGTCACCAAAGTTGTAGCCGAAGAATGGCCGCATGGCGAAGGGGTCATGCATAATCACCTTGCCTGAAAGAAAACATTAAATGCTTTGTAATTTTGATTTGATTTTGATTTGAATTTACTACAGCTTCCTTATCATCCTATTATCTTAACTAACTCTTAAGTGATGGCACAATTTCTAAAACAAAGTCATACAAAAGACAATCAACCCTAAAACACAACAGAGCTGTAAATCAGTATGAATACATTTAGAGGAACTTAAACCATAAGAATATCAGAGGTGTTTATCTGTACCCTTATGCTCAGCAGCTGCTGTGGCCTCAGACCTCATTGCAGCTCCAACAAAGACCCCGTGCTGCCAGTTGAAAGACTCGTAGACCAGAGGGACTCCTGACAACATCAACATCATGTTAAATAAAAGTTGTTGCTGTAATTACTCAAGCATATGTTTAAATAGAAAACACAAGCATTGTGTTGTATGATGCAGAACATCCACAATATATTTACTGTGTTTAACTGTTTAAGAGGCTATAATGTTACTGTGAGATCTGTTCAGTGAAGTTTGTTCCAGTATCTACACACCATCAGCACGGCAGGATTATGATTGTCACGATTGTAATAGAAACTAGAAAATTCCTGGAGAAATTTTGAATGTGAAAGTTTATCCATGTCATGGAGATGGCATGTGTCTGTAAATGTCTGTGCCTGTGTTTGGCAGTATAAATTGCATAAGGTTTTGTACAACAGAACCAATAATTCACTCTAACCATGTTGAGACTTATTTTGAAGGTTAATCCAAATCGTGGAGATGGTGTTTGTGTGTTTCTGTCAATAGATGTGTGAGTGTGTGTCTGTTTGTGTGCGCATGTGTGCATGTGTAGTGGCAGAGCTGCCCAACAGAATCTCCAGTAAGTTCTATTTACCTGGCTGAGACTACATACAGACAAACAGACTAAATAAGTAAAAAGTAAGATGGTGTTTGTGTGTGTCTCTCAATATGCGTGTATTGTTGTGTGATAGCAGAGCTGTCTACCATCCTCCGAAAACCTTGTCTTGCCTGGTTGAGACAAGTTTTTATAAGGTGAATATCCAAAGATGGAGATGGTTTGTGTTTCTTTCAATATATGTGTGTACATACTGTATATTGTCTGGGTTTTCTCAAAGCTGTGGGACTAGTTACACGCTGAAATTTCGTTACAGAAGATTAATAAATCGAATGTATGCAGGATAGTAATATATGCCTTCTATGCTATTGCATTGCAGGCACTTAATAATAGAAAACTAGAATTACTGCCTGTGTTTTACCTCTCTGCCAACCAGCCAAGTTGCAGGAAATATGGCCACCATTTCCATTTCTTAGTTACAGCATTGAATAATAGCAAGAGGTGTTGCAGAACATTATCATGTTGCAGTCAAGTTGACCTTTGACCATTTGGATATAAAATGTCATCACTTCATTTTATCCTATTAGACATTTGGGTTGTGTTATAATTAGCTTGACTTTGTGAGTTATGGGCAAAACTGTGTTTTGTGAAGTCACAATGACCTTTGACCACCAAATTCTAAACAGTTTATCCTCGAGTCCAAGTCAATGTTTGTGCCAAATTTGAAGAAATTTCCTTCAGGTGTTACTGAGATATCGTATTCATGAGAATGGGACGTACGTATGTACAGACAGACAACCTGAAAACATAATGTTTCTGGCCCTGGCTGTCACCGGTGCAGAGACATGAAAACCTTTTTCCTAATATTAGGTTGAGCGAGACGATACTGCATGGAAGATGTAATCTGCTCAGTATTATTGCCTGATATTACAAGGAAAATGAGGATCTGATTATTCCAACTTCTTTACATCTCTTCAACTTCAGTAATCAACTTCAGTACTCTTCAGTAATTTAAAAAACATTCATATTTCTGAATTACAGACACTTATTATTTCATTGAAACCTATAATTAAAAAGAATAAAACCTGATTTTATTTTGAACTCTCATTTTTATATGCAGTTTACTAAAATGCTTTTCCTGTGACCTCAGCACAGCTTATTTCCTGGTTGCAATTTTAATTTATGTTATGTTGAATTAATGTATTTATTTTTGTGTCATTCATGCCACAGAAGACTCAACTATCAACTGTGTGAATGCTAAGGCATCCTAGTGGCCTGGTGGTGTCTCTACCCACCTCCTCTCTATATCTCCCCATGTCTGTGTCTCTAGTGTCACTCTTACTATAACCAAAGGCCAAAAATGTCAATATTAAAAGTGAATAAAAATTCTTCAGGTGTATTTTATGAAAGTGGCACCAACCTTCTGGCCTCCTGCCACCAAAGATTATGGCGTCGATGGGAACCCCTTCCTCACTCTCCCACTGGGGGTCAATGATGGGACACTGAGCCGCTGGGGCACAGAAACGGGAGTTGGGGTGGGCACAAGGTGTCAAGCTTCCTGTTTACAAAAAGCAGGAGAGAACTTTACACATCCATTTGTGAGGCAGGTGCGTAGGAATAGGATGAGTGGATCCAAACTGTCAATCAAATTTTTTTTTTTCTGATTTTTTAATATCGTTTCCTTTTTGTAAACAGGAGTATTTAAAAAAAAAAAAAACACCTGTACACTGACTTGCAACATTTGTTGTCTAACTTGCAACATGTGTGTGGGATTTTTTGATTGACCCTGTTCACAAAAAGGAAACAATATTTTGTTCTTCCTTCAATGTCAATGTTAATGTTATTGAGTGCTTTAGTAATTTGGCCAAGAATATTGTAAACATCTGTATATCATGGTGAAAACTGTTTCTGATCTTTAGGCCCCTCCATTTCTAAACATGACATGGCTTTGGAAAGTAACTACATGGAACATTTAAATCATGGTGTTTTGTTTGTTTTTTGTTGTGATGTTATTATATCACAGTATTATTAAAAATTATACTCCATTCACAAAATGATTCTGTTTTCCCTTTATTGGCAATGTAAGAAAACATCTCTTAAGAAAAATGAATGAAAATCAAAACATGTATGAAAATAAGGTATGGTCTGCCCCATAATATAGGTGAATTAGTAAATGTGATTCATGCTCAGAGTTAGTAACAACCATACTGTTGTCCTGAGCTGTCTGTGAATAGTACTACTGAGCAACCTTATAAATATTTTTTTTTTCACATGTACTGTTGTTTCATTATTTCAAACCAGCCAAACGAGAATAACCTTACACTTGAAAGAATTTACATCTTTGAAGAAAACAAAAGCTGACATAACGTTTTACATCTTAACTCACATGAAGAAAGTTACTTAAAATGCCAAGGAGGCCAAATCCTGGTCTCCATTAGACAATTAGAAAAAAATAAGATTATTAGATTGTCAAACAAGTAAAATACAACTACAATACTATATAAACTACAATATACTGTATGCTGCAGTGCAAACGTAATCGGTATTTCAGTTAAAAATAAAATAAAAAGGCATTACTTCTTTTACAATAACACACTAAACTAACCAAACTGTTTTTATAGCTTTCTTGCTGGAAATCTTGCTAGTGTCGGTTCCCATATGTAAAAAAAATAGCTGCCAGAAGGAGGAGATCAAATCTGCATGCCTTTTGGAGAGAAAACCATAGGAGATAATGGATCTGAAGTTATTAGAACATATAACACGTCAGTGAAGCTGTCAGCCAATCAGAACAAAGTTCTGTCACGAAAGGAATACTGAAATACAAAGATCTGGCTCATAAAAACTCTTAAAGCTTTTTATGAGTTTATGAGAGACTAGATCTCAGCCCAGAGAATTTGGGCTGATGTGTTAAATAGCACTCTCCACTACTATCATCAAAACACGAAATGAGTGAAATTATTCTGGAAGAATTGTGTTCATCCCTCCAGTAGAGTTCACTTCTGTGTGTCTTTGGTCTGCAGTCTAATAACCAGAACTGGTGGAGAGATACAGACGGCGATAAATTAAAGGAAAAACCTGAACAAATGATTGGAGAAACAAAACAAATGCAGATGCTTCTGCAAAGGTGCATTGCATGGTACAGGTCTTATAAACTGTTAATAGTTTACATGCCATTCAGAGTAGTGTTTAAGAACCATGTGGCTGATGCAGTGTACAGTCACTGAAATATCTTTCAGCTTTACTATAGAAATATTATAATATGCTAGTTGTTTATTTGAGTGACTTGTAACAGTGTTTCATGCAATACTGTAGATTGCACTGGATTCATAATGATTTGTAAGCAAAAGTGCTGTAAAGACCATTTGTGTTCATTTGGTGCCCTCTACTGGATTCTTTGACACATTGCACTTACTAAAGTAAGACCGTTTGAACTGAATATTTAAGATTTAAAAGGGACATCAAGCGTCTCCTTCACCCTTGACCGGATGCCCATGGTGGCTGTAAACAATTTGAACCTTGTAAGCAGAGATTTACCTGATGACCTTGGATCAAGTGTTGCTTGTGCATTAGTGAGATATGTAAGGAAATACAGAAGAGCAACGCTTCCTCAGGTGACTGAAAATGTTATGACATATGAGGAACATTATAATAGGCCTGCAGTGCATAAACCCATTACAAAGATGAAAGCACATTTGAGAGTTCAGTGGTGCGAAAACCAAAGGCACTAGTCTACAGAGACGTGAAAAAAGTAAAAAGTAAGTAAGTAAGTCAGATCCTTCACCGTATTCTCCTAAAGTTGGCGAGTGCATGTGTGGCGAACACCAAGAACCGTACAGGCCTGAATGCTTGACCCCTATAGTGAGGTGATCTAGTGGCTCCATTATGATGTGGGGGGCATTTTGGTGGCATGGTTTTAGTCCACTTGTCCCCTTAAAAGTTATTCTGAGTGATTACCTTTATCCTATGATGAAATATTTCTATCCTGATGGGAGTGAGCTCTTCCAGGATGACAGTGACTCCATCCATAGGACACAAGGGGTCACTGAATGGTTTGATGTGTAAGAAAATGATGTGAATCATATGCTATGGCCTTGGCCATAGCCACCAGATCTCAGCCCAGAGAATTTGGGTGATGAGTGAAATTATTTTGGAAGAATTGTGTTCATCCCTCCAGTAGAGTTCAGAGACTTGTAGAATAAATGCCAAGGAGAATTGCAGCTATTCTGACAGCACGTGGTGGCCCAACACTATGACATTTTATGTTTGTGTTGTTGGCAAAAACGGAAACACATCAGTATAACTGAAATACAAGCACAACACTTTGATGTCCCTATAAAAAACACATCCTCTGGCTGATATTACCTTGCTTCCAGGTTTTGCCATGCCAGTCTGTGAGTGTGATGCCGGCTGGAGGTGGGGCAAGTCCTTCCCACCACACTCCCCCATCGCTGGTCTCACCAACATTAGTGAACATGGTGTTTTTGGCAATGGTGGCCATGGCATAGGGGTTGGTCTTGTCTGAGGTACCTGGAGCTACACCGAAGAAACCATTCTCTGGGTTGATGGCCCTCAGTTTACCTACAGAGACAGACATGTTGTACATGTATACATTACATGTGGAGTAACAGGGTCTTTGTGCGTGAGCTCTGCTCCTCATCCTCACCTTGGCTGTCAAACTTCATCCATGCTATGTCGTCTCCCACACACTCAACTTTCCATCCTGGCAAAGCTGGTTTCATCATGGCCAAGTTGGTTTTACCACAGGCACTGGGGAATGCCGCTGCTATGTAACGCTTCACTCCCTGAGGGTTGGTGATACCCAGGATCTGAGAAGCAGATGGAGTGGTGAATAAAAATGTTAAAAGGAATAATCATAATTATCACAAGTATAACTCTATAATTATCACTCAACCTTTCATTGATAGCCATCAGTCCAAGGCACTGAAAATGCATCAAGGCCAAGCAGTTTCACAGCAAGATACATACAATACAAATCTCTGCCATATTCTTTTCTATTTAATTGATTACATTTCTAGGGACAATGTACAAAATATATTAATGTGTGAGTGATGAGAGAAGATGATAAATTTCCATCTATGATCCCTTCGCATCACAAGCTCAACCTGACACAAAATACTAAAGGTATTTCTGTTGGTACATCAGAAAAAAGAAATGCATTCATGTTTGTATACTGGAGAGAGGCCAAAGATCTATTTACAGTAGAAGTCATACATACACTTTAGCTGTATACATGTGAATTCAGTTTTGCACAATTCCTGACATTTAATCCTAATAAACATTACCTGTTTTAGAGGTAAGGATCACTACTATATTTTAAGAATGTGAAATGTCAGAATAAAAGTAGAGAATTATTTATTTCATCACCTTCCCAGGGTGTCAGAATTTTACATATACTTTGTTAGTATTTGGTAGCATTGCCTTTAAATTAAGATAGCCTTACACTGGTTCTCACACTAAGGTGCTGAATTTTGATCCATTCCTCTTGACAGAACTGGAGGAATTGAGTCAGGTTTTGTGGGTTATTGTAAGTTCATCTCTAGGAGAGAGAATACGTCTCCTTCCTGAGTGTTATGACAGCTGCATAGTCTCATGGTGTTTATACTTGTGTACTATTGTTTGTATAGATGAACGTGGAATCTTCAGGTGTGTGGAAATTGCTCAGAAGGAAAAATCAGACTTGTGGGGGTCCACAATTTTTTTCGAGTAGTTGGCTGATTTCTTTTGAATTTCTCATGATGTCAAAGAGGCGCTGAGTTTGAAGGTATGTCTTAAAATACTTCCACAGGTAATTAACACAGATTAGCCTATCAGAAGCTTTTAAAGCCATGCCATAATATGTTGGAATTTTGTGTGTATGTAAAGTTCTGACCCACTGGAACTGTAATATTGTGAATTAAAAGTGAAACAATGTGGAATCTGGAAACAATGGTTGGAAAAATTACTCATGTCATACATGCCCTTACACATGTGCAAAAACTATAGTTTGATAACATGAAATCTGAGCAGTGGTTAAATATTAGCTTTAATGACTTCAACCTAAGAGTATGTAAACCTCTGACTTCAACTGTATGATCAAAACTGAAATCCCATCCAAGGATTTATCTTAATATTTGAAAGATTCTTGGCTATTAGATACAATACTTTTCAATAGGACCATGAAGTTCATTTTCACATTTATTTCCATAATTTACTTCATAAGGAGCCAATGAGTTATTTTATTATCATATAAATTGTCGTTAATATGGACGGTACGTACTAGTCAGGTATGACAGTTATATTTTTACCAACATAACTGTGAAAAATTACAGTATCAGAAAACTTCTGATTACATTTTCTTTTGATTCCTTACAGCAGGACGGAAAAAAATTGCTAAGTTTTCGACAGTACCGATTTGAGTGTCAGACATTAGGGTCTGCTTAAGACAGCAATGTTCTACACCGAAGGTTAACTATTTATTTTTGCAGAGTTTGAGTGCTCAACTTCACTATCCCAGAGTCAGTTTCTTAACCCAGGCTACAGTCACAACATGACATCCTTCATTCTCACAAGCATGTGCTCTGCCAGCCAGCCCTCATCCTTGGCAATGCGGGAGGCAATGCGGAGGGCGAAGCACTTTTTCCCAAGGAGAGAATTTCCTCCATAGCCACTGCCAAAGGACAGGATCTGCCTACTGTCCGGCAGGTGAGATATCAGCACCTTGTCTGGGTTACAGGGCCATGAGTTGAGCAGAGGGGCTGGAGAGGAATAGTAAAAGGGAAAAAAGAAGAAAGGGAATTTATCAAATGTTTGCACAAAGCAGTAATACAACTTGTTTCCTGTTGAAATCTGTACCTCTGAGAGGTAAAGGTCGTCCCAAAGAGTGCTGACAGCGGACAAACTCTACTCCTTCAGCCAGTTTCTTCAAGACAGGTGTCCCCATACGCGTCATGATGCCCATACTGGCCACGACGTACGGGGAGTCTGTCACCTTGAAGGAGAGCTACACATTTATCACCTGAGATTTTGATATAGTAATTTCCTAGAATATATTATAAATTACAGCAATAAATGAAACTGCTAACTACAAAACAGCAGGTTTATTGCTTTGTTGCATGCTTTTTTCTGTCTATCAAGTGTTGAGAGGAGCACAGTCACTACCTGGACACCATATTTACTCAGAGTGGAGCCTACAGGACCCATACTGAAGGGAATCACGTACATGGTCCGACCTACAGAGAGGAAGGACAAGCATTAATTACATATGAATGTAGTTTATTTTTCCACTTCAGGCAGCATTGTTTCAGTATTGACAAATGATGAAAATTAGGTAATATTTGGCTCGAGAGGTCATGGCTTTCTTGGCTTTTTATGGTGCAAATCAAGTAATTGTCCCATGTTATTTTATATGCCACAAAAACATTGTTACAGATGATGTATAAAACATCTGTTTTTTTACATAACTTCAGTGGCAGATTCATCAAAAAGCATTCGGTAAAACATCTGTCAGTAACATAATACTACCTGATGACCCGTTTACCTCTCACCTTGCAGCATTTGTATACGTGGTTGTGGTTGAAAAGGCTTTTTTGCTTAGGAAGGTTCCTAACTGAGTGAAATTACCCAAAAGTATCTAAACTGCAGCCATGAACAGAGCTGGTTGAATTCTCTAAATGATAAGGAAAGGAGCTTCAATGCTTCCTATCTAATCTGCTTTAGCATAGGAAACACTGGACCTTTCTTTAGGAAAGGAAAGGAGAAATGCCATCCCACAATTCTGTGCTGCTGCAACATTTAAAGCAACGCAACATTGTAGTTTCACATCGGCAGACCCACTTAAATGTAGAAACAAGAGAGCACCTTTTTTATGTTTGTATGTATATATATATACTGTATATACTGTATATATAATATGTAATATGCTGTTTATCTTCTCTATTTCAAATCCAATTAGGATTTATCATGAAGAACAAATATATTGAATTTCTAGTTAACAATATCATCATCACAACAAAATACTATAGTGTATACATAAATGTTGTTTCACTAAATCTTCTCCGATTGTGTAAAGCACTAAAATGAATTTTCTCTTCATGACAATTGTTCAAAAATTGTCAAAAGCGTGGTTAGTTTTTGGTTAGGAAAGGAGTATTTATCCTCCATGTGTTATAAATAAAGGTAATTTTAAGAAAAAGCTTAGATTCTCTCCGCACCACGATTTTCTTTTCGTAAGTCCTTATGAATTCTCCTTCTCATCTTTCCTTGACCACACCCAACCCAACCACACCCATACTGCAGCTGGTTGGAGGTGAAACACTACTTTTCAGCCTGGTGTTAAGTTACTCTTTAGAGACGAAACATCCTATTTTATTGTCATTCATTTTTAAAATAGTTGGTTAATAATATTATACAGATTAAATCACTAAATTTAAAGTCAAAGCCATTTACAATATAAGGAAGATGAAGACACACATTTCCTGGCAACAAGGAAAAAACATTTAATTTCCATCCAGCAACATACCTGCCATGCAGCCAGGGAAACGCTCCTCTCTGGCTTTATGCCAGTCTGACTCACACATCCAGCTTCCCAGCTGGCTCTGCACCCCACCAGTAGGGATGGGAATCGTGTCCCTCTGGCTCTTGGTCACAATCACGGTCTTGCTCTCCACCCGAGCCACGTCTTTTGGGTCTGTACGTGCCAACCAACTGCCAAATAGAGAAAAAAAATCTGAGCCTGATGCAGGAAAAATAAGGAATTGTAGAAGAGAACTCGAAAATTCCTGGAGAAATTTTGAATGTGCCTACTGCTTGGTGCGTTTACTTCACTCCTTTCGTTTCAATCTGTATAAAGGAAGTTACTTTTAGTTTCATTCATGTCGTAGAGACTCATCCTGACACTGACCTCAGTGACTGCAGGTGTCCCTCAAAAAGCCTTTTGAAGCTGTCACAACTGGCCAAAATAACCTCACACTGATGGTTTAAAAACCAAATTTGTCCCCACAACCATAGCAAGACATGTATACACACATGTACATGCCCCAACAGAAACTGATCTGCAGTAAAGCTAGGTTTTGTACAACAGAGCCAATAATTCCCTCTTACCATGTTGAGACTTATATTTTGGAGGTTAATCGAATTTGTGGAGATGGTCTTTGTGTGTTTCTGTCAATATATATATACAGTGGAGGAAATAATTATTTGATCCCCTGCTGATTTTGTTTACCCCCTTACAAAGACATGAACAGTCCATAATTTTTATGGTAGGTTTATTGTAACAGAGAGAGACAGAATATCAACAAAAAATCCAGAAAAAAACATTAAATAAAGGTTATAAATTAATTTGTATTTGATTGAGTGAAATAAGTATTTGATCCCCTACCAACCAGCAAGAATTCTGACCCCCACAGAGCGGCTATGTGCCATTGAGGCAGTCAAATTAGTGCTGTCCCTTTAGGAAAGTACTCCTAATCTCAACTCGTTATGTGTATAAAAGACACCTGTCACAGAATCAATCTCTTCCATTCAAACCTCTCCATCACCATGGGCAAGACCAAAGAGCTGTCAAAGGACATCAGGGACAAGATTGTAGACCTGCACAAGGCTGGAATGGGCTACAAGAGCATCAGCAAGAAGCTTGATGAGAAGGAGACCACTGCTGGCGCGATAATTCGAAAATGGAAGAAATACAAGATAACAGTCAATCGCCCTCGCTCTGGAGCTCCATGCAAGATCTCACCTCGTGGGGTAAGGATGATTCTGAGAAAGGTGAGGGATCAGCCCAGAATTACACAGGAGGAGCTTGTTAATGATCTCAAGGGAACTGGGACCACAGTCACCAAGAAAACCATTGGTAACACACTTCACCATAATGGATTGAGATCCTGCAGTGCCTGCAAGGTCCCCCTGCTCAAGAAGGCACATGTACAGGCCCGTCTGAAGTTTGCCAATGAACACCTGAATGATTCAGAGAAGGCTTGGGAGAATGTGATGTGGTCATATGAGACCAAAATTGAGCTCTTTGGCATCAACTCGACTCGCCATGTTTGGAGGCAGAAAAATGCTGAATATGACCCCAAGAACTCCATACCCACTGTCAAAAATGGAGGTGGAAACATTCTGCTTTGGGGCTGTTTCTCTGCTAAGGGTACAGGAAGGCTTCACCACATTGAAGGGCCGATGAACGGAGCCATGTACCATGGAATCTTGGATGAGAACCTCCTGGCCTCAGATGGGTCGTGGATGGGTCTTCCAGCATGACGATGACCCAAAACATACGGCCAAGGCAACAAAGGAGTGGCTCAAGAAGAAGCACATTAAGATCCTGGAGTGGCCTAGCCAGTCTCTGGACCTTAATCCCATAGAAAATCTGTGGAGGGAGCTGAAACTTCAAGTTGCTAAGCGACAGCCTCGAAACCTTCGATTTGGAGAGTATCTGTAAAGAGGAGTGGACCAAAATCCCTCCTGAGATGTGCGCAAACCTGGTGACCAACTACAAGAAACATCTGACCTCTGTGCTTGCCAACAAGGGTTTCTCCGCCAAGTACTAAGTCTCGTTTTGCTAGAGGATCAAATACTTATTTCATTCAATCAAATACAAGTTAATTTATAACCTTTATTTAATGTTTCTTTCTGGATTTTTTGTTGATATTCTGTCTCTCTCTGTTAAAATAAACCTACCATAAAAATTATGGACTGTTTATGTCTTTGTAAGGGAGTAAACTTACAAAATCAGCAGGGGAGAACCGGACTCAGGGTAGGTGGTCATCTGCCTTGACCGGTTGGGTTAGAGAGATAGACAGAGAGAGAGAGCAAGGGAGAGCACAGAGGAAAATACAAGAACGTGCAATTATAGCAAGATTAATAATATTGATAGTAACAGCAATAACAGCAATAGTAATGTAATAGCAACTGTAGTGCGCCTACTGATAACAATAATAATGAGAGCTAATCCCATTAATAATTATCATTATTAATTATAGTAAATTTTAGTCCAGATAGCAAGTGGAGCTGTGCCTATGACAGCAGACATTGCTGAAGATGTAGTAAATATCATAATCGTCTACACTGAAGATACAACAACACCACACCAAGCGAGCAAGAGAGAGGGATAGAGAGAGAAGGTAGTGCTAACTGCAAAGCTAAAGTAACCAGCAGATCTGAACAGCATGTAAGCAACTGCTGAGTTAGTGAAAGTTGCTAAAAGGAGCAGAGAGCTCTGAGTGCTGGAGGAGAACTAGTGTAAGTTTAATACAATGTACAATAGGTAGTTCAGTTCAGTACAGTTCACAGACTCTGTAATGGATGGATGAATGGATGGATGGATGGATAGATACAGTGGGGCAAAAAAGTATTTAGTCAGCCACCAATTGTGCAAGTTCTCCCACTTAAAAAGATGAGAGTAATTTTCATCATAGGTACACTTCAACTATGAGAGACAGAATGGGGGGAAAGAATCCAGGAAATCACATTGTAGGATTTTTAATGAATTAATTGGTAAATTCCTCGGTAAAATAAGTATTTGGTCACCTACAAACAAGCAAGATTTCTGGCTCTCACAGACCTGTAACTTCTTCTTTAAGAGGCTCCTCTGTCCTCCACTCGTTACCTGTATTAATGGCACCTGTTTGAACTCGTTATCAGTATAAAAGACACCTGTCCACAACCTCAAACAGTCACACTCCAAACTCCACTATGGCCAAGACCAAAGAGCTGTCAAAGGACACCAGAAACAAAATTGTAGACCTGCACCAGACTGGGAAGACTGAATCTGCAATAGGTAAGCAGCTTGGTGTGAAGAAATCAACTGTGGGAGCAATTATTAGAAAATGGAAGACATACAAGACCACTGATAATCTTCCTCGATCTGGGGCTCCACGCAAGATCTCACCCCCTGGTGTCAAAATGATCACAAGAACAGTGAGCAAAAATTCCAGAACCACACGGGGGGACCTAGTGAATGACCTGCAGAGAGCTGGGACCAAAGTAACAAAGGCTACCATCAGTAACACACTACGCCGCCAGGGACTCAAATCCTGCAGTGCCAGACGTGTCCCCCTTGCTAGAGAGCATTTGGATAATCCAGAAGAGGATTGGGAGAATGTCATTTGGTTAGATGAAACCAAAATAGAACTTTTTGGTAAAAACTCAACTTGTCGTGTTTGGAGGAGAAAGAATGCTGAGTTGCATCCAAAGAACACCATACCTACTGTGAAGCATGGGGGTGGAAACATCATGCTTTGGGGCTGTTTTTCTGCAAAGGGACCAGGACGACTGATCCGTGTAAAGGAAAGAATGAATGGGGCCATGTATCGTGAGATTTTGAGTGAAAACCTCCTTCCATCAGCAAGGGCATTGAAGATGAAACGTGGCTGGGTCTTTCAGCATGACAATGATCCCAAACACACCGCCCGGGCAACGAAGGAGTGGCTTCGTAAGAAGCATTTCAAGGTCCTGGAGTGGCCTAGCCAGTCTCCAGATCTCAACCCCATAGAAAATCTTTGGAGGGAGTTGAAAGTCCGTGTTGCCCAGCGACAGCCCCAAAACATCACTGCTCTAGAGATCTGCATGGAGGAATGGGCCAAAATACCAGCAACAGTGTGTGAAAACCTTGTGAAGACTTACAGAAAACGTTTGACCTCTGTCATTGCCAACAAAGGGTATATAACAAAGTATTGAGATGAACTTTTTGCATTTGCAAATAAATTCTTTAAAAATCAGACAATGTGATTTTCTGGATTTTTTTTTCTCATTTTGTCTGTCATAGTTGAGGTATACCTATGATGAAAATTAGAGGCCTCTCATCTTTTTAAGTGGGAGAACTTGCACAATTGGTGGCTGACTAAATACTTTTTTGCCCCACTGTAGGTAGGTAGGTAGGTAGGTAGGTAGGTAGGTAGGTAGGTAGGTAGGTAGGTAGGTAGGTAGATAGATAGATAGATAGATAGATAGATAGATAGATAGATAGATAGATAGATAGATAGATAGATAGATAGATAGATAGATACTTTATTTATCTGAGAGGGGAAATTCATATCTCCATTAGCTCATTGTTGATGATGATGATGATGATGATGATGATAATAATAATAATAAGTTATTAATAAATAAACAATAATAATTATATTAGTCCACTTCCTTTGGCTGAGGTGTTGTATAGCCTGATGGCAGTGGGAACAAAGGATCTCCTCGACCTCTCTGTTTTGCAGCGCAGTGATGACGTTTACTGCACCTGTAGCTGCTTCTCTGTCCTGCCAGAATCTTGTGGAGAGGATGGTTGGTATTGTCCAAGATGGCCTCCATCTTACATTGCATGCGTCTCTCCACAACAGTCGTGAGTGAGTCCACACTCCTGTCAAGCACAGACCCAGCCTGTTTTACCAGCTTGTCCAGTCTCTTTGTGTTCATGTCTGACATGCTGCTGCCCCAACAGACTGCAGCATAAAAGAGTACACTGGCCAACACTGACTGATAAAACATAACACATAAAACACAAACCTTAGATTCCTGTAGAAAAAGAGCTGGCTCTGTCCCTCCAGGTAAATGGCATCCGTGTTCATGGACCAGTCCAGTTTACTGTCCAGGTGCACACCTAGGTATTTATTAGTGTGCAACACCTCAGTGCCCTTCCCACAAATGTTGACTGGCTGAAGGGTGGGCCTAGACCTCCAAAAGTCGATGACCATCTCCTTGGTCTTGGAGGTGTTCAG